TTCTGCTTGGAGAAGCAGCGCGTGATCCAGGAGCAGACTGAAATCTTGGAATGGCTGTCCCATCTAATGAAGTTGGAGATGAAAGCCTGAGAGATTCAGATGATGACCATGTTAAACTACTACCATCCTCTGAATTTGTTGGAGACATTAATAATCCACCATTTTCATAACAAGATAAAAACCTCGCCGCGTCACTAGAAGACTTATGCAAAGGTTTAGGGATTTTAGACAAATGCAGAGTCATTCTCCTAACCGAAGGCTTCTGCAAAGGCTTAGAGCTTTTCGACAAAGGCAGCGACATTCTTCTAACCGGAGGCTTCTGCAAAGGCTTAGAGCCTTTAGACAAAGGCAGTGACATTCTCCTAACCGCTTTATCACCAAGATCCAAGCTTATGCTCATAGCATTCGAAGTGATCGTTTCGCTAATTCTACTAGGCCATTGATGCTGTTCTATTATCCTACTATGAGGACCATTGACAGGTTTCGAATTCTCTGATTGACCAGACACATTCTTCAATGGACTTCTTTTCCTTTCGGGCGTATGTTTCCTCGACACAGAGGTTGTCTCACCTTGCTGCTTATATGCTATATTCGAAGACGGTCTCAATGTCCGATCGTTTGGAGAAGTAACAGACGCTATATTCGAAGAGGGTCTCAATGTCCGATCGTTTGGAGAAGTAACAGACGCTATATTCGAAGACGGTCTCAATGCCCTATCATTTGGAGAAGTAACAGACGCTATATTCGAAGACGGTCTCAATGCCCTATCATTTGGAGAAGTAACAGACGCTATATTCGAAGACGGTCTCAATGCCCTATCATTTGGAGAAGTAACAGACGCTATATGCGGTCTCAATGTCCTATCATTTGGAGAAGTAACATACGCTATATTCGAATGCGGTCTCAATGTCCTATCATTTGGAGAAGTAACATACGCTATATTCGAAGGCGGTCTCAATGTCCTATCATTTGGAGAAGTAACATACGCTATATTCGAAGGCGGTCTCAATGTCCTATCATTTGGAGAAGTAACATACGCTATATTTGAAGGCGGTCTCAATGTCCGATCATTTGGAGAAGTAACAAACGGTTTCACCTTCTTAACTGAGACTGAATCAGACTGAAACGAAACACTGAGACTTCTCATAGTGGAAGGCCATAAGCTTTCAGGTAAACGACCAGAAGATAATCTCCTAGACAACAAATCTGAAGATACATCACTAACCGGTGTGGACGGATAAGTAGGAGTAGTTGGCGTCGACGAAGAACGTTTCCTTTCTGCTGAAACAGCTCTTTTCGATGGCGATTGAGAGCTTGGAGAGGCAGTCCTCGTGACAATAATAGGTGAAGGACATCTCCTAGTTTTAGTAGGAGTAGGTGATCTGTACCTTGAACTGACCTCCATTGTTCTTGTACGGCCAGCAACTGGATTGTTCTTCTCTGATGGAACAAGAGGCGGTCTTGTAGTAACTGTAACCGATTGCTGCTGCTTGGCCATTGTTGGTTTCTTAGACACATATGATACTTCCATTCAAGCTAAACAAAAAACAAACTTTGCATTTGATTTGATTGGCTTCAGCAGCTAACTGCATCTCATTGAAGACCCGTTTTTATTCTGTTACAGAAATCCACAAGGAAGGAGAAAAAAAAAGTAAGATACCTCACAGATGGGCATAATGGAGAAAAAAAAAGCAGAGAGAATATTTAGACAACCAAGATGATAAAAGAAAAGTTTACATCTTTACAACAGATCAAGAATCCCTTAAAGGTAAGATCTTTAGGTGGTTTACATCAAGAGAAGCCAAACAGACAGATCAAGAAGACATGGAGATTGTAATAAAGGACAATCCTTGGTCCTTGGGACAAGCTGACTAATTTCAAATCACAATAAAGTTAAAGAGTTGTATTAGTAGGGGTCCCCTAAGAAAAGGAAAAAAAAAAGGAACTACAAGAACAGATTAGACCTAGGAGTTAAAGAGATAAGAAAGTTGTGCCTATTTGACTATTAAAATCAAACAAGAGAGAGGTCTAGTAGTACTTTAATTGCAGTTTTTTTCAGAAATTCAGAGATATTCTTGAATGCAATCAAAGACTTTAAGTTTAAACTTCTGAGCATAAGTTTCAGTGTCATTGTCACGGGTGTGCCATGGTCGGATGGGCTGGAGATATTTAATGGAGGTTTCAGTTTCAATCACAGATCCACCT